TTTCCTCAGAAAAGTCTTATGCAAATGTTACCAGTGTACTAGTGTGTGCTCAAGTAAGGCAGATAACATTTGCAGGGCCTGGAGACCCAAGCCCAGTGGGCAAACTCCATTCTGATCCTCCCTTTTCTAATTCTGAACTCTCAGATGGACAGGCTTGGCAAGCCCATTTAGGATACGGCACGCTCTGGGCAGAGCTCTCAGATGGTGCTTACCTCTCTCCCAAGGCTGATTCTGACTCCCAGACCCAGGGCCTCCTCTAGCTTCCCACAACTCTGGGGCCTCTTCCAGTACTGCCCTGCTATTGGCAGTGCGTTCCCAGCCCTGGCTTGGAGTTCTGGGTTAACCGTAGAGGCTGAGAATGGTGTTTAACAAAAGGCTTCAAGGATGACTGAATGAGTCAAAGTGAACTCAATCTCCATAAGGCAAAGGATGCTCACACAACACTTAACACTCATCTGCTGAAAACACTTGATGGAAAAAATATTTGCTTTGGAGATTGGCTGAAGCATGAGCCATGGGTATGTGGCATAGTAGCTATGAGACTTTATACAAGTGACTTGCCCTCTATATGCTTCAATATATGAATGAGTGATAGTATGTGCACCTTATAGCTTATTCATTCATACAGTTACTGTTTCTACCCTGCGCTAGGTCTTATGGGGATGGACCTGCCATAGGTCAATTGGGGAGACTTCTGTGCAAATAATCACAATCATGTGATAAAAGGGAAAGCACAGGAACAGAAAAGCTCTTTAACTTGTCCTGGGGTCCCTGCAATTTAGTGGCACTGGCCTCATCTGGAGCCAAACGGCCTGGGCTTGAGTCCTGGCTGGTTGGTTTTCTAGTTGTGTGACCTCGGGCAGATAACCTAACCTCCTGGGCCCTCCCTTGCTCACCAGTAAAGTGAAGAAAACAAAAGCTCCTACTTCATAAGGTTGCCATGAGGAACAAATAGGCTAACAGAAATAAATCTCAGAGTGCCTGGCATACAATAAGCATAAAGTGTTCATTCTCACATCAGCAGATACTTAGCAAGCCATGCACACAGTGCCAGACCTGTGCTGAGGGATAAGTTGATGTCAGACTGACTCTACTATCATGGGCTTATGATTTACATAAACTCTGAGTGAATCTTGAAATACAAATTGTCATGTAAGGAGAGTCTGGAAGAAGTGCAGAGGGTGAGGAAAGAACTTGGGCTTTTGACATTTAGTAGAAGAGATAAACCGAATGAAAGACAGAGGGATTCTTCAGGGAGCAAAAAGGAAATATAGGCAAGTAAAACATGCTGAAAGGCTGGGAAGGGGAGTGTGTGGGAATGTTGATTGCTACCTATCATTATGTCCTGCAAACATGTACTAATAAAAAAATTACCCTAGTAAACTGACTTAGGGAGTATGCATGAGCAGGGTGAACATATAGAGAAAACAAGTGCCTCTCCAACTAGCTGTGTGAGTCTGGGGCATGGCTTTGTCTCTCTGAACTTAGGATTCTTAACTGTAAAGTAAAGATGACAGTGGTGACCTTACAGAGATTAGGATGGTGAGGAAGATGGGCCTTAAGAAGCCTTTATTATTTTGTGGGAAATACCTATTGAATCAACACTAATTCTTTTACTGCTTTTCCTTTCCTCAACTACTCTGGTTGGTTTTCCTCCAGTTCCAATTAATTGCTTCAGTAACCACTAGGTGCCTGGGTACCCCCAGGCTGGCTCTGGAAATAAACAATTGGTTAAGAGCTGTTCTCAGATGAGTTGGAGTTTAGAGATGGAAACGATCCTCTAGTATCACTTTGTTAAAATTCAGTTAATAAATTTTAGTTTACCGTGTGCTTATTACCCGGTAGTCACCGTGCTAGGATTCCAGGGTGTGAAGTGATTCCGACCCTTTCAGGGATTCAGCCTGGGGTGGGGAGTGGGGAGTGAGCTGACAGCTGCAGTTCAGTAATGCACAGGCGTCTATAGAGTGCAGTGTGTGTGTGTGTGTGTGTGTGTGTGTGCGTGCATGTGTATTTGGGGGCAGTACAGTCAGTGTAGTTGGGGGAAACCTCCTGGAGGAAGAAGTCTAAACTGAGAGTGCAGGATGGATAGGTGGTAGAAGTCCACAAGGGCAGAGGGAATAATATGCATAGCCAAAGATGATAAGAAGCCAGCAAACTCAGGAAACTGCAGGCCACTCAGACGATGTGGAGGACACTGCTGGACATGAAGATGGAGGGAGACAGAAAGAGGCCAGGGGCCAGGAGTTTAAATTCAAATCACTTCTATGGAGGGCAAAGGGAAACTCTGAGAGGATCAAAGGTGGCTGGCAGTTGGGTGGGGAGTGTAGCATCGTAGGCAGGTGCTCAGAGAGTACACTGGGGCAGGAGTGTGGAGTCAGAGATGGAAAAGAAGGGCCTGGAGAAACGGAGATCAACTAGGACATGTTTTATAATTCTAGTGAGGCTTAAAGGCCTGAGGGGAAGAAATGGCAATGAGAAAAATGATGAAAGAGCAGGGAATGGATTTGGGGTCTTAAATCACTGAATACACTTAGAAAATAAAAGGCATTGGTTGAATTTTGGCTCCTGACACATTTCTATGTTAACAGAAGCACTAAGAACTCTTGGGAGAATCATTTTGGAGAGTAGAATTTTATATAAAAATGCAGCTTTACTGCTTAGTTTAAAATTCATGATATTGTAACTATTATTAGAAACATCTTGAAAACACGTTATATTTTCTCAGAAACAAAGCAGGGGCTTTGGAGATAAAGGTCCAGGTCTAAAACTGCTCTTTTGCATGTCAGTTGTGGACCTTGGATCAATCACTTTGCATTTGAGCCCCTGCCTCTTAAGAGAATCAAGAACGCCCACTTCACTGGGGAAAGGCCTGTAATGGTCAAGAAAAATGCCGAGCACATCCTAAACACTCATCATAGTTTTCTCTTTCCTAAAGTGTCCTAGAATAGTACGCCTGGACTTCTTCCTACTGTTTGTAGTTTGTGTGCTTTCTTGTTTTCCTCCATAACGGCTACTTTTCACTGTTGCTGTCACCCAGTCTCCTTTTTCTTTATACTCTACCTGAGTCTGTAGGACAGATGATAGCTGCTCTACCTGAATTCACACACTTTCCCTAAGACCTCATCAAGGAGGTGCTATGACAGCTGAAAGGCTGAGGCACAGGACGGTGAAGTGACTTCCCTAGGGTACACTGCTAGCAAGTGAGAAGTGGCTTGAACCAGGCAAGATGGCTCTAGAGGCGGTGCACTTAGTCATACGTCATAATGCCTCCCAGAACTAAGAGCCGCAGGCAGCAGATGGTGAGCAAGGTAAGAGCTGAAGAAAATGAAGGCTGGAGAGCGAGTCTCTTTTGCTATTACTTTTGGATCAAACCCTCAACGTGTAGCTGAGAGGAGCTATGTGCTCTTGGAGTTGTGAAGGGTTATCCTCCAAAACAGACTGAGACAAAGGAGAAAGAATTAGAGTAGAGGAGGGTTCAAGGAAAGAAGGCCTACTGATTTTACTTTATCCTCGTTGGGAATTTCTTCTATATAAAAACGTGCCTTAATAAAAAGAATATGCATGTTCAACTTCCCAAATATTCTGATGTTGTACAACGTAAGTGGTGGTTCTTCAACTGTTATCAGTGGACCCCCTGAGAATCTGATAATGTGAGTGGCAGAATCAAGGTTTGAACTAGAAGACACTATAGTCTCTGGAGTGTGAATGTATAAGTTTAAAAACAAACAAATGGGGGCTAGGGATTTAGCTCAGTGGCTTAAGTGCCCACCTGGCAAACGCAAGGTTGTGAGTTTGATCCCAGTACCAAAAAAAAAAAAAAAACCAAACAAAAACAAAACAAAAAAAAAACCCAAACTCCAAAAAACAAACAAACAAACAAACAAATGAGAAAATCAGCATAAAAGGGTTACAAACACTATCAGTTTTATTCTAGACTATGTGACTTTCTCCTGCACTGAGCTGAGGACTCTTCCGTATGCCATCCACCTGTGGGGTTCAGGATTGGCAGTTGAGAGCCTGAGGGGACAGGTGGAAGTGTGCCAATGAGGTGTCCTGCAAATGGAGCTAAGTAAGACCCTCTGTCATCCCAAATGAAAATATTTTGTGCTTTGGAAGAAACTTGCCAGAACTTTGCCACCTCTTAAAAATCTATCCCACAGACCAGCACACTCAGGTCTGCACCTAACTTTTGGGACTGGCACTTTAATGCAACTACAAACTATTTCTGCTTCTAATTCACTAGGAAGCAAACATTATACAAGCTTAAATTTTATTCTCTTACATTAGAAAGACTACAGAGTGGGCCAGGGACATAGCTTAGTGGCACAAGCACTTGGTTGGCAAGTAGAAGGTAATGAGTTCCATCCCTGGTACCAAAAACAAAAACAAAAACAAAAACAAAAACACCAAACTAAAAAATCCCAAACCAAAACCAAAAACTACATAAAAATGCTCCCTTTAAATACTGAATTTCAATCAAAAATGAAATTCCTTTCATTTGAGATAGGAATTCTCTATTTAATATTAAACATTAAAAGAATGAAATAATAGAGCAAGTTCCTTATTACAGAAGAGCCTGATCAGATTTTGACAAGAGATAAGGTACTTAAAACATTGAGTGACAAGGTGGGACACGTGAAGGCACAGAAGGACAGAAAAACAAGAGAGAACTGGGTTCAGTGTACAGTGATGGGCAAGTCACTTGGAAGCTGGTATCTATGAAGTTCAACTGTCCAGATGCAAACCTAACAGCAGCTCTCCACAGCTAAGCTAGGCTGACTCCAAAGTCTTAGTACTAGTATCCTCTGCACACTCCCTTAACACTCACACTGTGTGTGTGAGCAAGTTTCCATGCTGCAATGAAACACCAATACCTCCCAGATGGGATCTGAAGAGCCCAAGCCACAGCAATAAATAAATATCTTGCATATATGTCAGAGCAGCCCTCAAAGAAAATCTTACACCTCAGTAAAGAAGTCAGAAAGTACCAACAAAAATGGTAACATTTTTCCTACAATGTTTAATCTCCATGCCAAAAATGTCCCATTAGATGTTTCCCTCGCCTCTTATAATTAGGTGACAAAGTAGAAATCCATTTGTGAAAATAAAAAGGCAGAGGTATGAGCCCTAGCTCAATGAGACATACCAAATACACAGCATCCTGTTGTCCCAGGACGGGCAGAACTGTCCTGGACACTGTTGGGAAAAGATAGGTGCCAAAGAGGTAAAACTTGTGATGATTATTCACACTTGAACAGTACATCAGTCACTGGATGAGGGCTGAGGTGAGGAGCCGGGGAGGGTGCAGAGCTGTCATTCTCTGTGTGAGGGTTGGGAACATATACTCATGGATGGGAAATTTTAAGTAGCTATGTTTATTATTACTCTTTTTCCAGCAATCTTGCAAGAGGCAGAAGTGTGACACTGACTGAGTGAGAGAGTGTGTGGGTGGGTTGGTGAGGAGCCTATCTTTTGATGCAGGCCACTGGCTTGTCAAGGAATGGCAGGTTCCACCGCTGAGCTCTGTTTACTCTTTTGCTTCAAGGAAAAGGGTTTCTTGAGGGAACAACTTTACTTCCAATAATGACTTATTGGGGTCTAGCTGAGTGACCTGAAAGAAAGAAAACAGTGTATTAAAAAGACTATAAAAGCACAAGCTTTTCTAATAAGGTATTCCATCTAGGCACACTAATGTTGCGCCTACTATACATTGGCATGAGCATTTTACATGATCTTATTTTACATTCAAGATAAATCTGTGACATAGGTGTAACTATTCTTTTTTTGTACCAGGGATTGAACTCATAACCTTTTGCTTGCCAGGCAGATGCTTAAGCCACTGAGCTAAATCCTCAGCCCACCATTCCCATTTTATATATAGAAGCCAGGGACTTCAGTTCAGTGGAGAAACTAGCATTGACCTCAAGGCATAGGTTCTTCTTCTTCTTTCTCTTCCTTATATCTATCTATCTATCTATCTATCTATCTATCTATCTAAGCACTCTACTACTGAGTTACATCCCCAGCCCAATAGCTTCTGGAGACTCAACCTTCTCCTGTGTCCTTAGGAAAAAGATGGTAGATACACAGCTGAATAGGACTCCTGGGATCTCTGCTTCTAATAATAGAGGCCCTGTTCTGACTGGTGCAGCAGCTACATCTTTGATGGGACAAGAGCTATGTCTTCCTCCAATGAGGACCTGTGGTAAACTGTAGCATGGGCATGCTATCATAGCCACTACGATAGGTCTATCTTCCTTGGTGAACATAGACATATCACAAGCTCTCCGTTGGGTGTATATTTAATTCGAAAAAAGAAATCTACTTTATAATGTAACTTTGTTTTCAAAATGAAAAATATTAACTGTTGAAAGAAAAGCTAGACAAAATTTTCTTGGCACTAAGGGATTATGCCAGGGATCCTAAATTAGGTTTATGTTTTCGGGGCTAGTAGCTGGGATAGAACAGGAAAATCTTTTGAATCTGAGAGTGAAGGAAAGAAATCAAAAATTTTCCTGTTTACCAGAAAAGGTTGTGAATTTTAAAAGATAGAGAAATACTAATTAGTAGAAAAAACACAGGCTGAAACATTAGAAAGACTAGTTTATATCACAGCTGTGTTGGCTCTCAGCTTTGTAGCTTTGGGATAAGTATCAACCTTGCAGAGCTGATGTGAGGATTAAACAAGAAAAAAACATATAATTAGCACAGTGTCTGGCACAGAGTAGGTGTCAATAATGGCTTCTGGGAGTGAGAGCAACTGTAAAGGTGGATGGACAGACAAATGGGCAGCTCTGGGTGTATCACCCAGAAGGCCAGGAAGGCCAGGCAGGCTGTAGTCCGGAGGCTGCTGCTCTGCTGCCTAGGAGTTCTAGGCCCAGGGGAAAGACTGCAGATACCACTTGTGCAGACAATCTTCTGTCTTGCTCAACCAAGCCTCACCTAATCAGATGGCTGTCATCTTGTAGCTAGAGACAAGGGGAGACCCCGGGGGCCAAGGCTGGCTGTCACAGGCAGGCTGGCAAGCTGATGGGGGAACATTGGCTTTGTATCTAGATAGAAACCTGGTATACCTAAGAGGGTCGTTAAACAGACACACCCACCCTCAGAATCTTCTTTGCTTACAAAGGACACAGGGCAAAGCTGGCTCTGCTAGTGTCTCTGGAGTTATGGGCAGATGGACAGGCACGGCAGTGGGGAGGGCCCGTACTGTTGTCTGTCTTCCAATGCACTGGGGGGCAAGCTGCTGGCAAATGTTTACCCACTTCCCAATTAATGTACAATACTGCACTGGCTTCTGTCAACAAAACGGAGCTCTGCTGCCTCTGCTCCTGACTCTTTGGCATTTTGTGCCCAGCTGCTTCTGCTATTGTTCTTAATTAACATGCCAGAGCTCTTCCGGCATTTTCTACTTTGTTATTTGTGGTTTGTAAATATGATGTTTGCTGGGAGAAACCACAACCATAATAGTGCCAGAGCTGTGAGCACAGGCAGGAAAATGTGCTGGGGGAGAAACAGAAGCTGGGGTATCAAGACCTGTGGTGCACCCTAGTGGGGCCAGCAAGATGCAAGGTTAGAGATTCATCAATTGAACCCAGTTTTCACATGAGAAAATAGAAACAAGAAAAGTTATGTGACTTTCTCTAGTCACTTTAAGTGGAAGACCTGGGATTTGGGAAGGAGGAAACAGAAATTTCTTTGGCACTATTAAACACCAGGCTCTTTAGATATATTATTTTCTTTATTCCATACAATAACTGCGCAAGTTGTGAGAGCTGAGCCAATGGAGGCTCAAGTGGTTGCCCCCTGTTTTAGCCCATGATGTTAGAAGGTCTGCCTGTGCAGGGCAGTGATTAAAAAGAGTGAAGCAAATCCACATCACACCCCTAGGTCTGCCATTTACTACCTATATGATCTCCCCAGAGCTTGTGTTCCTACCTGTAAAGTGGAAATCACGGTCTTTCTTAGGCAGTTGTAATGGCTAAGTAGAAGCCTCTGGCACAGCGCCAAGGCAGTAAGTGCCAGAACTTTAGACAGACAGTAGCAGATACTGATGTAGCTGCTGCTACTTCTTTTTCTGTACCTTTCTCCTTTGCTGTCTTTTTATTCTTCATCACCATTACTATAGCAGCAACTATTATTTAGTGAGCCCCTTCCATGGAGCTGGAACCATGCTGAGTACTTTGTATACTTTATACATAGTACCTTCAGCCATCCTCACAACAGCCCAGTGAAACAGGTTATTGCTGCCATTCTACAGATGAGGAAACCGAGGTTTTTCACCACTGTTACAAAAAGTATAAAGGTTCACACTCAGGTCAGCCTAATTCCAAAGCTCATTCTACCCAGAATATTCTTGGCCAACATGGTAACAAGTTATTTTAGGGAGGGGAGGGCTAAATGTCCCCAGAAACATTCAAACAGGAGTATATCTGCAGATGATGACTGCTATCATTTATTGAGCATTTATTTTGTTTTTGAAGCACCATATATATATATATATATATATATATATATATATATATAATTTTCTTAATACTACTTGAGGTAGGTAATTTGAGGTGGATATAATTATTATCCCTATTTTACAATTGAGAAAATTGAATCACGGAGCAGAATAAGTAAATTCCTTAAGGTTTCAAAGCTATTAAGTGCAGATCCAGAATGTGAATTAAGGTTCTCTAGCTTTGGAATCTACTTAACTACTAGATTATACTGCCAGAGGTGTTGTTCAGAGTGGGACCCACTGCTGAGAGAAGTAAGTTGGAAGAGATGACTCTGAATTTATTTCTAACAAGCTTCCAGGATATAAGATCTTCACTGTAAGAATGGCAAAAGGTCAAGTGTCATAAAAAAATCCTTAAATGTTTATAAAATACGAATACAAAAACCCAATCTGAGCTTATGTTTTGCCATTTACTTGAGACTTTAGTGAATTATTGACTCTCTAAATCAACAGAGAAACCCACCCTTTGGGACTTCAGGAGGATGAGGTGTGTTCACAGATAAGAGGTGTACTTTGATTTTGTCTACAGATGGAAGAGGTAAGTCAACCATTCTGACATTTTCTTCATTGTATTTAGGAAACCTGAATGGGTATATTTTCTCATTAAAATAATATTTTAGCAAGTTGGCTTTGTGAAATATGTATGTTAGCAAAAAACGGAACATGTTTTCTGGCAACAGCTATTCTTGCTGCACTAATTTTTTCAGCAGTTAGTTTGAAATTTCGTACACATTTGCTACATTGCTGTTGAGAAAAAAGTGAATTACAGTGACAGATTCTCATAGTAGGCCATACTGTGAATTCCAGAATGTTAAAAGTAGAAAGCTACTTAAGTGTCAAATAGGCCAAGCCCTTCATGTCACATGAGGGCAACCAAAGGCTCAGAGAGGTCAAGCGACTTGACCAGTTATACATAGTTGATTAACAGCAGATGTAGTATGCTATCCTAGGGTTCCTGACTTCTGTTGTAAGAGTCTTTACAGACGTACCATCTACCTCTCAGCTGTTTCCATTTACATGAGCATAAAAGAAATAAGTACACTATTACTTAATGCTGGGAACTACTAGGAAGCAGAGGCTGAGGAATGCTAAAAATAATAATATTTGTAAAACATTAACTCAATTACATGGGTTGGATATTACGGTAAATCTTTTAATTTTACTGAGGCGATTCTTTTATTTTGAAAAGGAAGTCTGGATCTAGTATTTTACATTTAGAAAAAAGTTAGGTTAGATTTTTCTTTCTTTTTATGTTCCTATTGTACTTGACAGCTTATGGAGGAAATGCACTATTATAGGAGTGCTTAGAAATTACTGGATTTACTTATGTTCACATATAAAGTGGTAGAGGCAGAATCAGAACCCAGGCTTCTCAATGTGGTGCCCCATAATTTCCACTGTAACTCCCCACTTAATAGGGGCCAAATGTATTGAATTGGGAAGTTCTTTGAAAACTGGGAAGCTTTTAGAGTAAAATCTGCATTTTAGAAAATTTCAGGATCTTCAAGGCAGAAAAACTTGTCAAATTTGCTCTAGTACTGCTTGCTTGCCCCAGTGACCAAGCCGCCCTACTTTCTAGACTCTGTGCTGACAGCCCTGTGGGAGAGGCACGACCTCCAGGGGCAACTACTTCACTAGCAGAAATCTGATCTCTCTCCTACTCCACACATACAATACCAAGCCTCATTCACAGTACTCCTCCCCTCCCAACAGTGTGAAAGGTCCTGTCTACACCAAACAGACAGACCACAGTAAATGTTCCCACACTTAGGAAACCCAGGCCTTCAGGCGTGGACTCCTTGCTTCTGTACATCTTCCCTCACTTTCGGTCTTCAGCAAACTCTCCCTTTTCTGAGTTCTCTGCTGACTACCAACGCTGTATGCTACCTAATGTTACCAGAATATAAAGGACCAGAATATATAGGTTCCAGGCTTGGCTCTAGCAGTGTAACTTTGGACAAGTTGCTTTATTCTCCAGGCTTTAATTTCTGCATTTTTAAAAATTTGGAAGTTACTAATTAGATGGAGTCAACTATACTGAGCTGAACTTTGGAAATCCAAACATTTGGCTTCAAGCCTCAGTTCTCAGCCATCTCAGCAGGAAG